AGCTTCCGTGACATTTTCAGAAGCCTCACCGCAGCCACCACTAGAAGACATTGAAGCCTTCTCGAATCACTAACCAGAAATCTTGAATGTAAGAAAGAAGATGAAGTGCACGAAACAGTGGCACAGTTCGCTATAGTTGATATCATCACAATCAGTCGGGGCGGTGTCAAGTACAAGGAATGAGCCCACCCTGAGCGGTTTCACCGCTGGTTTTTCCTTCTAAACTGGTCATTAGCCGATCACTTTTGGATGAAAAAAGAGTTGGAGACGAGCTCGTCTCGCATCTCCTGACACCGCCCGAGTAATTACGACGTTATCAACTACAAAGTAAAAAGAAGCGAAATAGAAAGGATGTGTTGACCCTGTCAAGCGGTTATCTCACGTTCCCATAAAATCCACCCACTTAGAGGAACTGATCAGTCAGCAATTTTTAAAAGATCCTGTTAGGAAGGGTGAGGTACTTCAACGGTTATCTAACGAGGGTGCCCGATAAATATAAAAGACAGACTCATGCATATCATAATCTAATCGTTACACCTTACAAGAAGAGATACCTAAAACTTAATATCGAATCCGCTCAGAGAGCATTTATACTTCGCGAGCCGATCGCTCAGATGGCACGACCCAAGCGACCGTATCGCGAAGGGTGAATGCGTTCTCTTCGCAAACTCTCATTTCATATGTTCCTCAGAAGACAATCGTGATTACACAATGGGTAGAACTTCTTGTTTGCACAGACGGTCCGCAATCCCAAAGTTATCCCTTTTCGGCTCCAGAGCGACGAGCGAGCTGCGGCTTTGCCGAGTCGAGGTGGTACGAACACACAGCGAAAAGAGGGCGTGCTTGGACGAGTTCTCATTAGTTGGTATCAGAAAGATATAAATCTTTTCCCTTATGACCACAGTCTCACATTTAGGAGGAAGATTTGGAAAGGGAAGGGGAAGAGGACGTTTGACCCATCAGGGAGCCTCTAGAAAGGAGGTATATTATAGGGCAGTGGGCGGAGCATCGCCTTCTTCATGACCGTTCGGCGCCACTAACGCGTTACCCAGCTCAACTATGTTAGCCCTGAAATTCCCCAAACTACTTAAGAGAATCTGAAGGTTGCTCCCCGCAAAATCGATAGCTATCCTGAGCATTTCTCTTTGATAAAAACGAAAAATAGAAACAATGGAGGCAATTCGAATTCACTGTGTGGTGAGGCTTCTGATAAGAGTTAGCCTGCGTTCGACATGTGCTGAGACCGACAAGAGAAAAGTGCCGATCACCATCAGAGCCTAGCATCGAACTACGACATTCTTATGGCTGTGGCAAATCGAAAAAAGGCCCAAAGAGTTCCTCCCACAATGCTGTGGATGTATACAAAACTGGTATGATGATTGCATGACTTGTTTTCGAAGGGGGATACATGATTTAGGAGCAATGCGGACTCAACGTCATACATACAATCTCTGTAGAAACCCTTCGAGGGTTTCTACATAGATTGTTTGTCAGATCCTCTGCGTACTTTGTCTAGTGCTAACATAGCTGAGCTGGGTAAATGGGTTACCCTTCTTCCCTGAGGCCATCTTTGAATTAGTTTAAGTCGATAACAACAACACCAAACAAACTTAAACACGAAAAGAAAACTCAAAAATTATGGAAATTAAGCCAAGCGGTGCGACTAGGCGTCAATTGTGCGGCTTTAAGTGACTCGCGTAACATACATTTTGATCGACGCCCAGCCCCCTTCGAGGAATCATGGCTTCCAGCCGTTCTTTCTCCTAGTTTTCCCTTTAGAATGCTGTCGCAATATTTTGATGATCACTAATATTTCGTAACATGCTTCCCTTTTCTTCGTTACTCGTCTTTATCGGAGAAGCCGGAAAAGAACATTTGGGTATAAGCGGACAGCTTTTGGAGAGGCAGTAAACTTACCCTCCCTGATAAGTTGATACCCAATCCAAATGCACCGAGATAATAAACGACAAAGTCTTAAATGCCTTTGCGCTAGACAATGGCCACTTACTTTTAACATGGCCACTTTCGCATAGACAAGATCGACAAGTCGACCAACCGACAAATTTTGTTGGCCATATACGACTGTGGGGCCATATAGGCTGCCTTTCAGTAATCTCCATAAAAATAATTTTCATAGGAGTTTTGATGCTTCCACTACCCATAGATATCTTGATAGAGGCAGTTTTACAAAGGAAACTTAGTAACTGTAGGGGTGGGGGAAAGGATCGAAAGGATCCTCTGTGCAAACTGCGATTATCGCAACTAAGACGACGACTCCCACCTTGGCCCAAAGAATAGACCCCCATCAGCGGGTTTGGAGATCTAATACTTGTACATAGCCGGGCGTAATCCGTAAAGACCGTCTTCACTTTCTCGCACCACAGTGATGGGATCGAGGATTTCCAACCGCCATCTATAAGTTTCGTTTTTTTTTCATTTCATTTTTTCAACTATCAACGATGATCGCTATGGTACGAGGACGGAATTTCTACTACCATTTGATGCCCTCCACACAACCTCATCTTAATGGGGCCCTCACGAGGACGAGGGGCCAATGAAGAAGACAATGGTTCTGTCTACTCCCATCCAGTTATCGCGGAAAAATCTTTCACTGCATTGATATTATATCAATTTTTCCATTTCTCATTTACACGTTATAAATTTAATCGATGTGGAGAAAGACGTGCTAAAACAGGTGATTAACGAAAACTTGCAACATTGAACATCGTCGTTTATTCGATCCGCAATATTTACAACATACCATAGTACCCGTTGAAACAATATCACTATACCCGGTGTACAAAGAGATCTACAAAGGTCTACAGTTATAACAGCGAATACGACAGGAGTTCAAGAGCGGATTTAGACTCCTCACAGATTAGCCGTTTGGGCTTAGCAGCTTTAACTCGAATGACGTCTTGTGATTAGCGATGGCAATGGGACGACAAATTGTTGACTGCCAGGTGTCGATCTGCGAATCGCGAGAGACTGGTGGGGAGCACAGTGGTCGATGCACAATCAGCACGCCGTCTCACTCGAGTAAACGGCATGGCGGCTACCTAGTTCATTGAACGCATCCAGCGCTATCAGCACCATATCCGTGTTGTAGACAGCTAAAATCAAGTTATTACAATATAACTTAACCGGTTTTGAACAAGCTAAGCCTAGTTGGAGCACAATGGGAGGTCGTATTCGATCGCGAGGGAGAGAAGGGTCGTATTGGTCTGAGGAGAATTTTTTCGATACTTGATTTTTCTTGTTTCACGGACGTACAGAGGTGGGGGGGGGTCTTTGGAAGGAATTCGTGGCGTTGGGAAAAACTTTTCTCGGTTTGACTTTCTGCGGTTATTCCCGTTTCACTGGCGATATATTACCCTCTCAACAGTAAAATTTCAGGGGGAAATTTTTCGTGAAATGCCGGAAAAACTGGGAGAAGTGGCAAAGAATTGGAAAAATCCGAAAATCTCGGAAAGCGGTAGGTAGGATGAGGAGGGGGGGTCGTATCTTTGCAGCAACTTTATACAACGCGCGGTGGCGTGTCCTGGGTGCAAGGCAGTCGTCCGATAGGAGCGCCAATGGACGAAGCCGCAGCTTCGCAGCTATAAGTTTTTGTGTCAAGCGTATTGTGTTTTGCTTCCTACTCATCTGGAGCAGGAGAATCGAAATGTGTGCTGCCATGCTCTGCAGCTATTTTCAACACAACCGCTCACTCCTTAACACAGCACGGACCATTAACCAGGCCTCTGCGCAGTTCGCTGCGCCGACCATCGCTCTTTCAAGCTTGGCGCTCGGACGCCTGTCTCGCTATGCAGCAAAACGCAAATTATCTTGTAGAGAACTCATCTTATCTAAGGCAGCGTGCAGACTTTCGCGACGGCGGTGCTTCGGTCGCTGGCGTGTCTGCAGAGAATCCGATCGCGAGACGCCGTAAGGTTACGTTGATGGCTCAGCGTTACGTCCCGCCCGAACGCGCACCGGAAGCGTCGCCGTCGCGAAGGTCTAAAAGCTGGCCTAATTAAGCTGTAAAAGATGATTACTGAGCCTAAACCGTTGCGATCTTTTTTTCAGATACAGTCAGAATGAGCTATTCGGAAAGGGAAATGAAAACTCATTGACACGAAAAAGGATAGAGAAGGATCGAGTTGTAAGGAACCTTTCAAAAACGTGGTTCCCACTGTGCACCCGAAGGCCTGACACACTGAATTAAATCGAAACCACTTACGAAAATTGCACTCCAGTAAGTACTGAACCATTCGTAGATCACATTCACAGCTAATCACAATGTATGGCGCGTCCGTCTCAATGCATCGCGCTGAAAAAAGTAGTATGAGTCAAAAAGTGAGAAGCTCGAAGCGAGCTAAAACGGGTAGCTATGAAGAAAAGAATAACTTAATTTCCGAGTTAAAATTGTTGGGTTCTGGGATAGACGTGACCAACGAAATTCCAAACTGAACACTAACATTGACGGAGAACAGGGTCCAGTACCAACGGAATGGACAAGAAACGCGGTGTCAGACAACTCCACCCCCCCCCCCCTCCGCTCGCCCCTCATTCTCTCACGTAACCACTCCAATTCCAACCTAACCGTCATCCTAATCTTCCCTACTTTGCAGTGGGAGAGTGGGACAACTATTAGTTTCAACTATCGAAAATAGTAGTACTTAGGGCCATGACACACGCGTCAACTTAAAAGGGGGGGGGGGCAGGAGTAAAAGATGGAAAGATATCACCAATTTTGTAATCTGAGCTTCTGATTTCATGAAATTCATCGTGGAATTTACCTAATCGACCAAATTAGCTATTAACTTACGGGTGCTTCTCAGCAAATATGCAGTAAAAAGAGAGACAATATAAGATTAATGACTAGAAATAATGGAAATAAACCCAAAATTTTCAAAATGCTCACCTATATCTGCTGGTGCTGGGCGATCTTCATGCACTGTCCCACCTGCTAAACGGATCAATTTTGTTAGTACTGCACGACTTGGTTCTACTGATGGCGTTATGTAGAATTGAACATCCTAAATGAACACAAAATCAGTTTATGAGGCAGCACTTTCATGAGGCGTGAGGCGCGATAATTTGGTACCCGGTCTAAACTGGTAGCAGGGAGTGCTATGTAGGGGGAAATGGCGAAAAAGCGAAGTGAAAGGGTCAAAAACCTGCGAAGAAAAGCCTTAGTTCTTAACGACTCAAAAAAGCAATTTCGGACGAGTTTCCCGTTGGCACCGTGTCAATAACCGCTACGGTAGGTACGGCTGCACGTATGTACCCTTATATCCATGCAGCACCGCAGCCGCTTCCTATTAATCCCTCCCTTCATATGTAACTTCGGCAAATAAGTAATACGCAGCATGTACGGGTCGTACCACTATCGTTGTGGCGGGCGCGGTTCGGCGTCCCGTGGTCGGTCCTATGATGCAGCTGATAGGGCGCTTATAAGGGCACTTCGGCTTAGAAAAGCACTCGCAGCGCCTGCAGGAGGCAGCCCGGCCTGCTCAGGGGCGCCGAATTCTGTCCTGCTAGGCGTATTATCCCACACTTCTTGGGGATTTATCGTGCCACTTGCCTTTAAAGTGCTGCGACCGCCGGACAGCGTCCGCCACTCGGTACAGTGCCTGCAACCCAAGTGCCTAACCGCAAAAGAGTTTGCAAACAGAAAAAAACCCTGGACAAGGCACAATAACATGTAAAAATACAAACAATAATGAATCGTCGAATACCTCACCTCAAACACCTTCTTGTGCCGTGCCCTGACCACGCTACGCTTGCAGTTGTAGCCCAAATGCCGTTCTTGGTCTTCGTCATGTAGGAAGTAATCGAGCGTATCTGAACCGTACTCTTTACTCGCTGTACATTTCAATAATCGGTGACGACGCTTTCGTTTTAGGCAGGGGGGGGGGGGGGAATTCCTCTAGTTCGCTTGTTTTTCTTGTTAGTTCCTGTCAAGCAACAGGAATAACAAAAGGAACTCGCCTGTAAAGTCTTGTAAAGCTAAGAAATGATACAAGTGAGCTACGTTGGTCACAAAAATTGACAGGTCCTCACAAGTGCCCCCCCCCTGCCAAACCGAACTGCGCCGATACAGTAAACTTACCCATCCACTGACGACATTCGTATCCATGCACTATCCAGTAAGGGTTCACTATATTCTTTCCCAAACAAATCGCCTCCAACAGCCGTTCCGTTCGTCGACCATTCGTCGTCACCAAGGTGGGTACATTCAGACACCTCCTCACATGCTCGTCCACCAAGATATCGCAGTTTCTGAAGATCAACCATTCCAACATTGGTTACCGCATATTGAATGTTTCAACTAATGGATGAAATAATGGAAAAGAATTACAGATGCCACCCTCTCCGATTCTGTAGTACCAATATGTTGAAATGGAATTACCTGAGTTCAAGACATGCTTGTTTTCATCGTCAATTCCACTGAACGCGACCACATACGCTGGATGCGTAATGCCGGACTTTTGATGCTCTTGGGCTTTTGCCGCGATTTCCGCTTCACTTGGAGGAGCTGATTGCATTCTAGAATGAAAACGACTCAAGTTTACGTAATCATCTACACTCCATATCTAGAAGTGAGGTGGGCGTGGCCGTACACTTTATTGAACTTGGTCTAGGAGCCATTTTTCCTAGGATATTTCCATGTGATACAACTGTCATCCTGTGTTCTGCGGGACGACTTGACTACAACTATGCCAGAATGGCAGTATCTCAACAAAACACCAGGTGCCAAAGCTGCCGCCATGATAAGATGTATTAAGCAGCCACGCCCACTCCATCTTCGAGATATGGCAACTGTGACACATTCTTTTGCTATGCATTATATCATAAACTCGAAAGCACAGAAGCAGTTGATTGTAAAAGACTCAGTTAGAAAACTTCTATGTGAAAAACTGCTGAAAGCGGGCTGTTGTTGCCAGCGACACTGAACGGTGCACGGGCTGCGAGAGAGCGTTTGGCCACACCCCTGTCATCCCTTCCACCAGTGACGTTGACGAGAACTGCCCACCTACAGCGATCGTGCCCACTGTCTTTACTCTTATCTGAGCAGTATTCATGGTCAGTAGTGTGGAAAAATCAAGTTGCAACCAAAAACCAAATAATTTCAAGACAAAAAGGGAATTTTATAGAGAGAGGTTGCAGACCAACCGAAGTTTCTTATTTGGGAAGACACCCTCATCGTTCTCAACCGCCTGCTTGGTGTCAAACGAACGCCGCCATTGCTCTGGAGTCACGATCACCGGCATTTTCCAAGCAACTAAAATGGTAAAGAAATCACTGAGTTTAACATAACAAATCCACTAAATTGCAAGAAAATTTTAATAAAGAAGCGAGAAGAAAAGTAGGGGGGAAAACTCACGAAGAAGCTGCTTGAATTGATCGTTAATCATTTCTAATGCATATGGACCCGGCGAGACACCCTCGCATGGTTGACCAAGCTGAAAAAATTATCTATTTAGCCAACCGGAAAAAAAGATGCTGCTCCTCGATAACGAACCTGATATCGTTGATTATCAGCTTCCACCCTTTGACCCGCATAGTTATCAGCTAGCCATTGATAATTCACCACTTGAATATCCCATTCACGTGCTTTTTCCACTTTTTCAACTCCACCACTGAAAATTAAGGGGATAAACAACCAGGAAAAAAATCAGTCAATAAATATCTGTAGGCTGGACCACTAGCGCCATCTGTATAAGGCCAAGGAAACCACTGTCGAAAGTATCAAATTTCGATAAAAAAAACTGAAGGGAACAGCAAAACAACATCCAAAACAGTTCCTAGTCGAAAGGAAGCCCAGTGAAAAAAAACAAGAAACTGGGCTTGGTGGGGGAACATGGTAAGCTTGCACCGGCCACATTGTGAAACCCTACAAATTCTAGCAACCAAGGGGCTCACTCGAACAATTTCACAGTCCCCCAGGAGTTTTCAGGTCTGACCAAAGTTAGACCAACTTAGTAACATGACCTAACAAAAGGAACTGGCGAAGCACCTAATGACCCCTCCAAAGCGAACAGCGCCAATAAGTGAATAAGCATATGGATGTATATAGAGAATCTCTCTGTTATATGGAATCATATATCAAGAATGTTGAACAACTAACCTTTTGGCAATGAGAATATTATTGTGACGACTCAATAGTATACGGGTATGCAACACTACGCTCTCAAACATTGTTCCATGCTCACAATGAACTCTATTAAGCAGAGCATCTGTATACACTTATATCGTCAAAGCCCGAGAACGACGCTCAACATGATAATGTGGTTGCTTAAATATGAATGACGAGAGATTCAGTTCTCTGTGTAAATTCCAGCAACTGTATCTGCGTAAGAACGCGAGTTAGATGTGAGTCTCAACAAACGAGCTGTCGTAACATACACTCCATTTCCCGGAAATGGACAAGGCGTCGCTGCGTTTCTATTTAAGCGTTTTGGTGTCTGCGGTTTTGGTGGAGTTTCGAGAGATGCATCATGCCTTTTCTAGTGCTAAGTATTAGTAATACAGTTTGTCTCCAATGGAAACATCCTACGGGAAAAAATCATCGCTACTCCACTCTTAAATGGAGTACGCGGTGCAGCCACTCTTTATCTAGGTATATGAGTTTATGTGGGCAATGTAACTAGATCACCCACATCGCTGGTAAAAAGCCAACGGTCCTTATGCGAACGAACCTTTTCGCTGGAGCGGGTCTAAGCCATCTGATAAAATTACCGACGGTAAGATGACATGGCCAATGTACGTCCATTTGTTTCCTTCATCATAAGTCAACACCACCAACTGCAGTTGTACCCCAAACGTTTGCGATCTTTTAGTGCCTGAAAGGGGACCCATAAGACCATACAGAGACGAATAGAGAAATGAGAAACTTCGAGAATACAAAAAAAGGAAATACGAAAAATCTTCACCAAATGCGCATGTTGGGTCCTTATCGACTCGACAATAACGTGTGTAATGGCTCCTGCTCGTTCCGCATACGCCTTTGCACCAAATTCGATGTCTCCGCCATGCATTCGAATTGCCAGTACAATGTTTGGTAGGTCCAATTTATCCGTGAACATTCGATCCATATCGAACATGTGCAACACACAACCCGCAAGACAGATATCCGGATGAACTGTAAGCAGCTTTCTGAGAACGATTCCCGGAAAAATAGACATCCCACCCATCAACAGTCCTTCTTGCAGTGCACGAAGCACGAGTAAAGGCTTACTGTGGGGCTCTACTAACTTTCACAGCAAGGAAGAAACAGTGGGACTACAGACGTGTTCGTATGCTGTCATGCCATGTCAGTGGGGGGGGGCTGGGTTTGGCGCGGTTCTCCACCAACTGTTGTCGCTGCCCAGCCTGGAACCAGCTGGCACTACACCGAACCCAGCCCCCTCCCCCTGACACACCCCAGCATCCGCAGCGAGCAAGACTGTAGAATGCAAGAGGGCACGCAACACTGTGAGCGTCAGCGGACATCTGTTCTCACGATCCAGCCAAGGCAAACCTTTGCTTCGCAAACGCACGCGTCAGTGCCCCGCACCTGTTCAGTGCAATCGTTAGCTGAAACACAGTTTCCTGAAACAGCTGATTTTTTTACCCGGCAGTCGCCTCCCACAGATCCGTTGGTTTCGGTGCATATACCTAACCCTTCCCCTAAAAAAGCCCTCGCCCTGGAGGAAACTACTCAAAGTGATGGAAAAGCGGACAGAACAAACCCAATAAATGAAAATAATCTCACCGTTCATGAGAAGATTCGGCTCATACGTGAAAAATTGACTAGGTATCACAGGCTGTTGGGGCGTTGGAACCATACGTATTGGTTGTGTGACCATTTCCCCTGAAACGAAACGAGTTTTCAGATTCAATTCGGTTTGGATCACTGCTCTTGCTATTAGTGCACTCAAAATTTCTGAACAAGAACTAGAGAAAGGTGGAAGAGTCCCAGGAATTCATTCCAGAGAAACCGAGACACGAATCTCGAGGAGCTTTCTTCACAATTGCTATTGTTCTTTTACCAGGAATCCACCCTTTTCTTGGTACGGAGGGAGCTCCGATACACTCGTAACTGGAGATTTTTCAATTTGTGGATTTTTCCATGGTTTCTGTGCGACTGTGTCCATGCCAATTGGACGAAAATTCCAGTTGTGAGAGAATCGAGTGATGCATTAATCATCTGAGGACGCGGAGTGTCACGTATGAAAGAGAATAGCTAAACAAAAACGCGCGATGCAAATGTCAGCTTTCTTTCTCAAGCCAACCTCGGAGCCATTGATAGCGCCGGCTTTGTAACGGCCAATATTTCTTGGTTCTCTACTATGTGGCCTACTATGGCATAAGTGGGAAGTCGAATTAATTCGTATTAAGTATAAAATGGCAGAAAGCTCTGCCTTTATCGATAATCTCTGGGTTGCGCCAGGCAACAGACTTCTGTTTTGAATAGTAATAGTCATGGAGTGTGTTTTGGTTTTTCTTTGGGACTCCCCGGACCATACAATATAGACCGGTGGAATGAGAGCCTGCTTCGCAGAATGATTACTGAAAACTAAACTCCGTTGTTTTTCGAAATTATATAAATTAGACATTATTCGTTCCAGGATCGCGATTTTCTCAGCCAACAGCATCACCCCACTACGCGGCTGATATGAGGTCGCCACCGCTGATGTCGCCAACGCAAGCCCCGATGGCACCGCAAGCAGCCATGCCACGTCCTGTAAGCAACGGTACGTATAGCAAGAAAAGATCTTTGAAACTTTCCCTCTAGGGAATTCGTTTTAGCATCAAAATGGTCCTTACATTTTACAACCCAGCTTTGATTTCAGAACTAGGCTTAAACTTACTTTATGGGGTTTCTAGTGAAGGTCTTCTAGTAAAATACTTACGAATCACCGCCTTTATTTCCTGATCAAGCAGGGGAAATCATGGAGCCCAACATGGGTAAAAATTCCTGACTCCCTTACCACGTACGAGTTCTCCGAACCTGCTCGTTTTGTGCCAGCAAAGCGATATCCTGCCCCTTCTGGGTCACTAGTCATTTATTCGCGTCATCCAATGCTATTACCATCCATTAGTGAAAACAAAACTGTAAACACTGAACTCGTGGCAAAAATAGCGTTTGGGCTTTGGGTGGCAACCAGGGATGCGTCAGAGCTACCACCTATGAGGGCCGCAGCGTCTTCGATACTTCCTGTTACGCGAAAGTGGGACAGTCTCAGAGACTCGCAGCCAGAGTACATGTACATGGAGAGACGTGTACGAATTGGTTGAGGGGGCAGGGTACAGCATCGTGATGTGTGAAGTGGTGATGTAGGTACGAACCCCCTCCGCCTCCCCCTCCGAGAGAAGGTGCGAACAGACAACAACCGGGAATTTTTTCCCAACGCAGCAGATTGTTCTCAGACGCATGTTCTCCAAGGCACATACGACCCACCCCCTCTCCCCGACGATCAAATACG